TTTTCATTCTATATCCATTGTTTTGATTCAAATTCCGTTGTTTTCATTCTAATTCTGTTGTTTGTTTTAAACTTCCATTGTTTTCATTCAAATTTTATTGTTTTCATTCAAATTCCGTTGTTTTCATTCAAATTCTATTCATTTCATTCTAATTCTACTCTTTTTATTCAAATTCCATTGTTTGTTCTCAAATTCTGTTGTTTTCATTAAAATTCCGTCGAAACTTGTGTTTCAGTTTGCCATCTTAGGGAGAAATCAACACACATGGGTGTATTTTCTTTTTGTTGCTGAGATTTATTGATAAAAACAGTACAAAAAACCCCCAACCATTTGTACACATATTTACAAATAATAATAAAAAGTGAGTGAGTACATTTCAACATTTTCAGCAATCACTCACAATCCTGGCACTGCCATGGTATCTGTAGTCTGCATTTGCCACATGTGTATCTGTAGCAGTGAACACATTGCCCAGTGGCATGATTGTTCTTGCATTTGTGTTTGACCTGACACATGGCTCTTTTTCCAGGGCTAGGTGTGGAGGGTTGTGTCCTAAGCAACTGTTCTTTTCTTGCCTTCTTCCCAGCTACATGAGAGTGAGCCAACTCTCTTGCAAGCTCCACCAGGAAGTCCACCCGTCTTTCCTTCGTCCCGGTGCATGCTTGATACAGCACATGTGCATTCAGTACTGCCATGTCAATCATGTTATAGAATGGCAACTGGCCAGCGCCGTGTTCCTCTGCGGACAGTGTACTCCCGCATCATCTGGTCCATCACATCCACGCCACACTTTGTGGTGTAAAGGGTGACAGTGTTTGGCTTCCTTTTGGTGGTGTTATCAGTCTGAACCACGCTCTGCACGCTGCTAAGAATATAGACTGTCTTCTTCCGCTTGGCCACATTCGCCGTCAGCGTGGCAGCAGAGGTTGAAAACACCTAAGAAATAAGATAAATTGTTATTTCCATAGCCCTTTTACACACAATGAAACACATAAACATAGAACCACAAAAGACCTGCAACATACCTGAGTGGTGAATTCATTGCGATCTGTGTGTCTAGCGGATTGAGGAATTTACCAGCGACTCTTGTTGATTGTGCCAAGGATGGTGGTTTTCCGTCTAAGAAGTTTTTGTGCAAGTGAAAGCGATGTGAAGAAATTGTCCGTGGTAACATTTCTGCCCTTGTCTAGGAATGGTTCCATCAGCCTCATCACTACATTTTCAGACAGTCTCTCCGCACTGGGACGATTGGGGTCCTTGCCAAGATATGGGAAGACATTGCAAATATACTTGGATTTTAGGTCGCAAGCCACCCAAAACTTGATCCCAAACTTGTCTGGTTTACTTGCAATATACTGCAGGAAACAGCACCGAGTCTTTGATGGGAAAAGCTGTTCATCAACGGTGATATGTAGACCAGGGTTGTAGCACGTGATGCAGTTGGTGACAAATGATCCCCACACACTGGAAATTGCAGCGAACTTATCAGTCTTTGCTCGATCACTGCGGGGGGACCTGTCATCAAAGCGTAGGTGTTGCATGATGTCTTGGAAGCGGTTTCGCAGCATAGTTCGAATGATCTGTGGGTTTCCCAGGTTTGCTGACCAGCAGTCATGTAGTGATGGAACCCTAGTAACCCCCCGCAAGATGACAATTGCATCCACCTCAACACAAAAGGAAGTTCACAGCTTTTAGCAGCTCCCCACCCCCACACACAAACAAAGAGGCAGATGGCAGTTAGAAATCAGCAATCATTCACACATCCCCACTCCCCCACTTCTCAGGTAACGACCTAATTTACATATGAATTGATGCTAAAAGACTAGCCAATTTAGCTTCCACTTGGCTGACAGAGGGTTAGAAAAGCCTGGGACTTCCAGTGTTTTAAGGATGGGTAATGACACTTGCCTGCTCTCCTTCTTTGTCGCTTCTGCAAGACGTAAAGTTTATGACTCAGGCTTTTCGAAGACAACTCGTATGCCATTTGGTAGCAAAAGAGAAAAAAGAAAAAGAAAAAAAAAGGAAGAGGATGTAAAAAAAATTTTTTTTGGGGGGGGAGGGGTGTTCCAAACAAAACCAAAAACTAAAAAAACATCTCCAGTTGGAGACACGTTTACAATTTCCTGATATTAAACAATTATAAACTGTGACAGTCACAAAACAGTCCACGTCCTGCTTACTTGCCTTAACCTTTCATTGCCAAATGGTGGCACGATACAAACCAGTTTTATGGTATCCACCAACACTTTACAACAACGCAATAGATTAATAAAGCAGAACGAATGTATGGCGAATAATACATTAGATTACAACATAAAATAATAAATTTGGGGAAAAATACAAATTAAAGATCAAATGATAAAAATATTTACATATGGCCCAATTTGAGGGCAGAGCTTTTGAGATCCGTTAAGGAGAAATCAGAGTATGGCCGTAGACCATAAGAGGAAAATGAATGGGATGACTGTTTGTCTTGTTCCTTGCTTTCTTGGTTTTCTGAAACTAAAGTAGATCTGATGTGAATTTTACTTTCGTGTCAGAACTGAATTTTTATGTTTATTTTCTTTTGTTCCATTCTGTGTCAAGATCATCCTCCAGGTCTGGTCTGTGGGAAGACTAATAGTTCAGTTTTGCAGATCTTGTCAATGCTTTTACAGCATTGCCGGTGTGTTTGGGATGATGCGTCCTGGGGCAAAATAAAGCGAGAAGTCAAAATTTTGCCTTCTTTATCATGTGTTTTCAATAACAGCAAGACTAATGGCTTTATTATACATTGCTCAAAATATCTCTCTCTCATTAAGTTCTTTTATACCAAACAGGTGCAAATGATCCTCTTAAAAAAAATCCTAGTAGTGCTGGAAATGTATTTTTGATGTATCTTTTCTAATTTCCTTTTTATTAATGCGGTATGACGATTATTGAGGAAAGATCCCCTCAACTTTACAGCACATTACCACAGCTGGGTCAGAGACTGATTTTTGGTTGCCCAGCAACGGCCAATTTAGAGCCACAAAGAGCTGCGTTGATCTTAGTGTTAGATATAGGAAAAATT